GCAGTATGACCTCTGAAACGTTGGTTAACATCGACCAGACTACACAGCGCAACAACCCAGAAGACGGAAATCTTCATACTCACCGCTGTGAGAACCTCAAGTCTTACATAATGATAGAATGTACAAATTGTTTTATCTTCGAGGAATGTAAATAGATCGCTCAGTTCACGGCAAAGTAAGGCAGTAGGTTACTATTAAGGATCGAAGTGTAGAAATCGTTGCAAATGCGGGAATGGTAAAATTGAAAAAGCATGTCGTGCTTACTTTCGGAGGCCATATGACGCATAGGTTAGGATTTCAAATTGTCGTGATCCCCTCCAGACTGTTTTAAATACAGCATTTACTTTTCAGTTGATTAATAAGATATCTACACCGCAGTAAAGCACCAAGACAGGTGCAGACTAACAGCTTGAAAAGGAATCATTCAGCAAGGATATACGTGTAGATGTATCAATGGAAAAGTATCAGTGTACGCGGATTTTATCTGTCATATCATCAGCGTAAACTTAGTCTGTGTGTCCGTGTTCACAGAAATCCGTGTAAACTAAGGGCCAAAATTTACAAACGTAAGCCGTCAAGTAGGAATTTTCACGAATCTGGGTCTGCAATTCGTAATTCAGATAGAACTACGCCACAGAAACTGGCCCGTTGTAGCGAGTGTAGACATAATGAGGGTTATGATCACCTACAGACATTCAGTTCAAATGGAAAAATGTTTGAAAGAACTCTATTAAACGCCGGTGTTGTATGTTCAGAATTGCTATATTTTATTTCAGAGCATTCGGAGTAGATTCTAGACCCTCGGGTTCTATGATTTTCCTCAGTGACTCCACGCAAATGCTAGGCTGGGACACGACAGCTTACTTAAACATCTTTTATAATGAGTCATTCACATGGAACCTGATTTATAACGTTGCGTAAGGCGTACGGCTGATGAAGGGTGGTCACGTCAAATTAGAAATAAAGCAACACTTAAGTATACGAAAGAGAGATTATAGGTCCAACATATAACCGCGCATTTGATATAGCATCGAAGAATAAACTGGGGATATATAAAAGAAATCAATGCGCTTCCGATGCCATATACAGCGATTCGACTAGTCGCATCAGTTGATATGGATTGATAAGTGATTAGGCAGACAGGCGGCGTGTCAGAGACACGAAAGAAGGCAGGCAGCCCGCAACACACCGGCTCGTGTATAAACAGAAATATTGCATTAAATTCTCGTCGTGGTTTCAGAACTGCGGAGGCTTTGAACGGACAAGTGCAGGAGACCCGGACTGGACCCGACGAAGGGCGAGGGGTACCACAGAGTACACATCCGTGTCATACTGATGAGCCCTCATATTTCGTCCAGGATTTTCAAAAAAAGAACACTGCTTTTCGGGGCGAAGAGGGAGGGCGGTGAATTGAGAGAATGTGGAAAGGGGAGGGGGGGGGGGAGTTCAGATCATGTGAACGCCGCCATTAAAAACGAAGCTAAAGTCACACACGCATCACAATAACGTATCATTTGCCTATTATAATATTTTCGCAGAAAAATTATATTTCTCCGTCCTCTTTGACTAACCTGATCACCAATTAATTTACCCCAACATTCTGATACTCAATCAGTACATCTGGTCTTGATAACTTAGACGCTTCACCGATGTTCGGTAATATTTCGGTAATGCAGCCTACTGTTTGTTTCTACCGAAACCACACAGGCTTACAGTGATAAGCATT